ACATTTTAACAAAGACGGCCTAACAAGCTCATATGAATTAAGGATGCACGATCCTGAAAAAGGAGGTACTCTTCGCTTTTTTTAAAGGGTAACGAAGAACAGCACTGAAATGGTCAATATTATACTGGCATCCCTGGAAAACAGAAGTCCTCTGTTTATTAACAGAACAAGCACGGCACAAGAAATTACACAGAGCCTTGGTACTTTCAGACCCTTTCAGATACACTTCCATCATCTCCTGTAGTGAAATGATCTGCATTAAAAACTGCTTGGAAAGACGTGTGTCAATCAGAGATTTCTGTTGTGGACACACAATTTAAAACTGAATGGACTAAACCAGCTTTTATTTGGCTCTAGACAGACATTAAAAGAAAAACTTCCTCAATTACTGGATTTAAAATTTAGAGGATTAACAACTATTTGATTTAGTAATCCCATGAATTAGTTCCTTGATATGAAAGCTACCTAGCATACCATATAATCCATTTCTTTAGTTTTAGTTAGGGCTTCATTCACAGACAGGTTCTTTTCTCTTGTTCTACCAGCTTTTACTCTATCTAGCAAATATGGTGAGGCTGGTACATTTTTGAAGACTTGACTAATTCTATTATTCCAAAGCCTGAAACTAACTATTATTTGTTTCTTATAATAAGTTTCACAACATGCATCTTCCTTTTCAACATGCTTCAGAAAATACAAAAGAGACAAAGAAAAATCAGTGGCCTCCAAAGCATTCAGAGGCCCTGCCCGGACCTCGCGGGCTCTTCCACTGTGCCAAGTCACCAGAGAGCAGCAGACGTGCAGCGACCGTAGCGTGCAAAGCCTACACCTTTCCATTACCACGGCCTCTGTGACATACAATAACCCACCACTGGTGCGCTCTGCGGCACCGGTGCTCATTTCACCACATGCTCAAAAGCATCAAACACAGTGGCAGGGACTGCCTTTCTAGGCACGGAAAACAGGACTTGATAAATAAGGGAACCTAGACTGAGGAATAAGTGGGCAGGAGGTGGCTGATGTAGGAGGGAGGAAGAATCAGGCTAGGCATCCTGGTTTGGCTATTTTAATGGAACTCTGGGAGAACTAACGGATGCTGATTTGTTGTTTGGTGATTCATGGAAACACAAAGTCCTGATTTAGAGTGGCATGTGGGTTGAGGAGATGGTTAGGCATAATTTTCTATTTGGATAGGCCCAAGGCAGCCATTCTCAGCTGCAGCCAAGGCTCGTATTTTTACTTTCAGAAGAGTAATTTAAGATTCCATCTCAAAGTCTTTCCTGGAGGGCCACATATACATTTGCTTTCTCAGGATATTTGCAACTAACAGTCTAGTAGCTATTTCCAGACTATTGTAGGCCATCCCTAACGATGGAAACATTTCAGGAGTTTTAGCATAATGAAAGCTGTCACTCACCCAAGCAGCAAATCCCTTTTCCAGTATCACATACAAGTTTAAAAAGATAGTATACAACGGAATAAAAATAACTTTCATTTTCAAAAAAAAAAAAACAGGAGAAAGTAAGCTCTAGTTCAGGAGATGTACCAGCAAAAAGTTTTTTTTTTTCTTTTAGCCTTCCATTTATCCAGGGCTTTTGGAAGTACCATAAAACGTGTTCTTAATCAATAGCAGATAAAACTAGGTTAAAACAGAAAACAAACAAACAAAAAAAAACCCAAACAAACCCAGATCTTGAGCTTCCCGCCTGACAAAAGTAGTATCTACTAAAGTTTAAGCATCTGTGTTGAAGGGCAGAATCCATGTTCTTTCTATACTTTATAAAGGTATTCTCCAGCACTGATCTATTCATGCTTTCTCAAATACAGTTCCGCAGAGATTATCTAAAGTTTTAAGCAGTCCTCCTAGCATATATCACTGCCTACAAACTATTAATATTATTCTGAGTGAAGAATTATTATTATTCTGAGTGAAGAATTATTATTATATCATTTATGTTTTCATAAAAATAAATTCCTCTTTCAAGTGGTCAACTAATAACTTTTTCATTTCTTTTTGGAATGATTAAATTTAAGTTAGAGGGAAGTGTGTGTGCTTAGTTCTAAAAGCAAAGTTGTGAAGGAGTTAAGGTTTACTTAGAAATAATTACAGAAAAGGTATTTTTAGCTGTGAGAATACCTCCTTTTTTAATCCCAGCAGCACTCAGTAGGTTTACTGCCAATGATACTACCTCATTCTCTAACCCAACGATTCCAACTCCTGCACTCTGTCACAAAGATTTCTGCTACAGGGGACAGAGCAGTTCTTGATACATACAAAATAATTATCAAGTAATTTCTTTAACAAATATTATGACCTGCAGGTATTAAACCCCTTTCTTTCTGATCACTGATTCAAGACTGAGGATTAGAAAATCTTAGTTACTTATACTGTCTGGCAGTTGAAATAACACTGCTGTTTACGAAATACAACACCTAGTTTTTCATTCTTACTGGTGATTTACTTCTAACATATGTACTTGCTTTGATTTCAAGATCAGTAGAGCTAGAGATCATTTTGTTAAAGTATTTGTATGTCAAGCTTTCTGAAAGATTAGTGTACACTTATCTACTGGCCCACACACATAAACCAACAGAAATCTGGACCTTGATAGCATAGGTCTACATAGGTCCTTAATCAGTTTAAAAAAACAAAAGAAATGTTATTTGAATTCATCTTGCTTCTTACTATCTCTGTCATATTCGGTGATCAAAGTTTGGTTTAGAGTTCAAGTATTTCATAGCAGGGTCAAGAGTCCTAGGTGGAGAACACTTAGTAAAATGGTACCCCAATCCTCAGAGGATTCTTTGTGTATACCATAAGGTACCTAAACTGAATCAAATTTTGTATAGAAATCTGAATCTTAAATCATCAGATGTTTAAAAAGATTAAGTGGGGGAGGGGGGAGGAAGTTATTTTACATGTATTTTAATAACATCTGTAAAGCCAAGAATGAAGGCTAAGCTTGCTCATGTTTTGAAGCATCTTATTTCAAAGTAGTGGGAACTTACTATACATTATTTAGGAAGATTTTCCTCCCTGGTTTACAGGAGGAGCAGAGAATTAAACAGTAAATTGAGAATTTAGCAATAAGTCAGTTAAAACAAACCTTCAAAACTTGTGGGTTTTTTGCCTCTAACAAAACTTATCAATTAGAAGTTTGTAAGAGATGCTGAAGCCTCCCCTCTCACCGGTTATATACAAAGCAAACTGACTGCTGTTGAAGATGTTATAATATGTTAAGCTCCACTGTTACTCCCTATCTCTGAGGGAAAAAGGCTGAATTTTAAATTGCTTGATATAATTTTGAGGTAATCCTTAAAATACTCATTCTAGTCTTACTTCTGAATAGCCTTATTGTGTTAGTCAAACGTTATATAGGTGTATATCTGTATCTACATATACGTGTGTGTATTTTAGAGGTTCTGCATGACTGCTTGTATGGCCTGTTCTTCAATTTTCTAGAAATGCTAAGATTCATTTATGATGCTCCTTTATAGCTTTCTCTAACTTTTGTCCCTTTTATTGCTCTGAACACTGTTTTATTCTGGGGCATCTCCATAGAACTCATCATGAGAAATTGCGTAACGTGTCAGAATAGTCTTTTCATCTGATTGAATTAGACTGTTTCAAAAGACGGTTCCTCATTTTAAGGAATAAGGTCTACATATGGTAAAATACTGTAACAAGAATCAGCCATAAATAAAAGTCACAATTTATGGCCTGTCAAAAACAAAGCATTCTCCACCTTTCGGATTTTTTTTCTGAGTAGTGACACGTCTTATGCAGAATCAGTAATTTAAGTAACATATTACCAGAACACAATACCACCACCTGCTATATTGCAAGCATGCTCATAGGATTTTAAGGAGTTGGAGGGGTTTTTTTTAATAGAATTCGAGACGTTTATTATCATGAATCTTACTGTACTATCATGAATGAATTAATAAAAATTAATGTGATCCCTCTGTTTTCACTGTGGGGAGCAATTTCTACCCATTCATGGTCTTTACAAAATACTCTTGACTATGAGGATGTGCAATGGTCTAGATAGCGCATCTCTTCGCAGTTTTGGGGGGAGGGGGCCCCCTTTTAAGCTTTTAGGTTGCAAATGCATCATTTCAGTTTTGACAGCACCACCAGGATGCTGTTCAAAAATAATTCACCATTCAAATAAGCGCCAGTTAAATGCAATTCATGTAATGCGTCTCTCAGTTGCATCAAAATTTCTTAAATTAAAACACAAGGGTAGAAAAATTCTACTAGGGAAACAGGTTAACTTCAGAACATGCACAAGAAATGCCCGATTGACAGCTTTCTTAGTATCAGAAGCTAAAGTTGCATCAGTTACTGTAGACAGTAATAAAAAAGCAGCTAGAACAGCAGCTAGAAGACCTGGATAGCAGGATCAGTTCTATTACTACTACGGTGGTAACCTAAAAGCTAAAGTTTGAGGGGCAGACATAAATCCTAGTATTTTGCTTTTAATAATCCTACGAAATGGTCAATAAAATCTACTCTAAAAATGCACTTTTTAACAAAATTATCTTCATTTAAAGGAACAAAAAATAGAAATGGTGCCCCTTTTCTGTTATACACTTCTTCCCCAACTGTTCCTCTGAAATGTGCATGTATTATTGGCAACATTTGCAGGCAAGGGTCAAAATAATAAGCAGTTCTCCTCTTCAGCCTCTTCATAATAGCACAGAGTCCTTTCAAATGTCTCTTTTCATAGCTAAAGTATTTTAAGTGTTTCTTTCTATAAAACCTTTGGTTGAGAACAGGGAACTAAAATTTTACGCCGCTCTGACTAGCAGCTCTCATTAGAGCCCTGAAATCTCTTTTAATCACAAACAGCGAGAGAATTACAGTGTCATGTTTCTTCCAACACAACTTTCACTTGAACTATTTCTTCCTATCACCATTTTTTTCTTAGCCTAGGACACAAAGGGAAGTAATTGTGCTTTTAAATACATCAAATGTAGAAAAGATATGCACTTACCAAGTGAACATAAGGCACAAAGTATCCGAAAAGTGCAGCTGGGATCCCAAATGCCCAAATTCGGTAACTTGTAACTTTGAAAACGGAGAAATTGAATATCTTTTTTTCAGGAGGAAATCTGAACTTGCCCTTCTTCCCTTCCTCTTTGTCTTTGGCACCGGAAACAAGGGGTTTGTACGTAAAGCCAGCCAGGAACAGAACGAACATAAGGATGCACAGGACCCTTAAGGTGTTGTATAGGCCAACTGAATCGATCAAAACTCTCAAGAGGAAAGGCAGTGATACTGTGAACAAGCTGCTGCCTGCAGTGACGATGCCATTCACCAGTCCAAGGCGTTTCTTGAAATAGTACCCGAGAACAACCAACGATGGCTGGTACGCAAACGAGCAACCACAGGCAAATACGATTCCATAGGTGAAATATAGAGGTTCAATGGTGCTATATCAAAAGAAAAAAAGTCCAGAAAAATTAACTAGTGTTTTGCGCAGCACTGTATGGTCACATTCAACTATTACATGAAAAAATCATCTTTCAATGAATTGAGATATTCACAGAAATTAACAGTTTATATGTACTTATTGTTGAAATATACTGCATCAGCTTAATTCAGCAGTTCTTCGGTAGAAAAAACTACAATAAAACTTCATTGAGTAAACGAAAAGCAAAACTGTATTTAAGCAGAATAATACTGAACAGTCTGACTAAAAATAAATTTTAAAAATCATAGTTAGGGTGAATTAGCCAAATACAAGTTGAACCTTTTTTGGGTTATTCTTTGGGGTTTTTTTCCTCCCTCCCCAATGAAAATTGTATTTTAATTTTGATTTACACATTTCTATGCTGAGCTAGCAATTCAAACTCTTCACAAGCCTAGGGGAAAAAAAAAGTACTCATATTGTTTATTATGAAAATACAATAGCAAAAATAGTAAACATTATCAATAGCGGAAAAATGTATCATCAAAACACTTTTGAGTTTTGTAATACAATGCACTATTAGCAAGAGATAGAAATTTCACGTCTTAATATATTTTTTTTTTTTAGACAAATAAATCCCTTTTTATTTAATATTCTAAATTCAGTTTTGATACAGGTATCGGATAGGCTAAAAAAGTAACAGGGAAAAAAATCCATTAATAAAAAACGAAAGAGCTCATATAAAGGAGGATCCTAATTGCAAGGTTCTCCACCATTATCATCCACTGTCCAACATAACCGAAATGAAGCAGGGTCATTGCATGAGAACACAGGTTCTTGTGACATGAAAAGGTACTTGTTCAAGAAATCTTAACAGTATGAAATAACAGTGTTAGTATAATTAGTAAGTAATGTAATATTAATGATTCAAAGGAAACATTTTTTCCATTTAGATGAAGAAAAAACCAACATGTGAGAAATGTTATTATACAAAATTTCTGAAGTGACACTTGATGTTTACATTTTTTTTTAAATGCTACCTTTTTAATGAACCAAGGGTTCTTTTTTAATCAGCTACACCTACTTTCAAAGTAGCTGTTGAAAGCCAGTTAAATTGTGTTAATAAATACATTAAGATCGCTTTCATTTGGGGTTTTGTGGGTGGTGCTTTTTTTAAAAAGAAAAAAAGTTGAGGAAACACTTGAACAGTTAAGTAAACTGTGTCTCCACCAAGTCTACATTCTCAGTAATTTAGAAACTTACTGCGACAGTGACCTCAGGCTTTCTATAGGGCTTTTAAACAGCTATTTAAAGAGGCAAGTAAAACCAGAAAGGGCTAAAGCAAGACAGCAGAGAACAGCTGCAATCAATCAATGCAATGCTCCACAGAAGCAGCATTTTAAGAATACCCTGACATTAGAAGTTCGAGTTCCTCCTGGAGGAATTTAAATTTTGCTATACTTCATCACCATCCCTGAGTTTAGGGTTTTTGCTCCCCCACCCCACCCCCCCCCCCAGCCAAATTGTTGGAAGTTGCCCTGAAGACAATGACACAGATTTTAAATGTGTTTAAAAGCCTAACTCTTAGTGCTTTAGATCTCTATGCCACTCTCTAGTATTTCAGCTGAGCCTTTTCCTGTAGCAAATACAGTTTGCAACACTGTAATTTATCTTGGCTGCCCCACCACCACCACCACTACTACCCCTAAACTCATTGCAAAGAAGGCTTGGTATGACTGAGGTGAGGTGCTAATTTGAAAGATGGAAGACAAATACTAGTTTCTGACTTAGAAAAAGAGTGCTGCAGTTAGGATACCTACTTAAACTGGCAGGTTTTAGAATTTCTGACGGTATGGTTGGTTTGTTGCTCTCTATCCTAGAGACCATCGGTGCTCCACAGAACAATGTAACTGTACCACTGCTGATGCCTCTCATTACCTTGATGGAGCGACAAGCTGTCGTTTTTGAAGGGATGGACCTGTGGGAAAGCACTGACCAAAGCTGTGAAATAATGCTCAAGCACTTGGCCACTGCTCGGCAGATAGCGCAGAATGCAGAAACGTACAGGGTGACTGCAGAACGGATACTGGAAGGTAGGGAGCACTAGCAGGAGAAACTTCTGCGTGTGGATTATATCTATCTGAGGAAAGATCTCTACTTAAGGGATGCTAAAAGTCACGGCAAGACGTTCTTCTCCTCCTTCCTAAGAACTGAGATAGCAGCAAATGTCCTGCAGTAAACTCACTCCGGGGGCAACACTAGTATTGTTTAAAGAGAGACAGCAGATTATTCGTCAAGAGTTAGTTCTCCAGTAAGCAATATGACACCCCTATTAAGTCTCGACTTAATATCCTGAATTGTCTTTTTAGCAACTGAATTAAAAATACAGCAGGGACTGGGGATAACTTACAGCCTTCTGTACAATTTAAAATTCCTACTCTGATTCTGCAACTAAAGCTCTATTTACCATAATAAGATTCTTTACTGCAGGGCAAGATGCAACACTGAGCTCTTAATCACTTGTAGTCAAAAAGCAAGTAACATGTTAACTACTTGACTTTATATTTTAAACTTGGAATGAAAAAGATGAGAGTGAAGAAAAAATTAACTATTTCTGCAGACAGCATGTATACATCAGTGATAAATACTTAAGGTCAGGCTATAATGACGAGCAAGACAATTCAATTAGAATTGAGCAAAGGATAGCCTGGTCTAAGGTCCCTGGAGCCATCTAAGTGCTGCTAGAACACAACACAGGGAAAGGATTTTAATGGTTTTCCTAGCTTTTTAAACCATTGTGCAAAATGAACCCAGCATATTAAAAGTAATGTTATTTGGAAATAATATATTTTAAAAACCTTTTCTTCTAAGTAAGTTTTAAAAAAAAAAAAAGCTTAATGGTGATACTGTGGGATTCTTTTTTGCTTATTAGGTTTCCAGCCAGATGAAGAGATGAGCGAGATCTTCAAGACAGAATTTCAAATGAGATTGCTCTGGGGCAGCAAAGGAGCGCAAGTTAATCAAAATGAAAGATATGAAAAATTCAGCCAGATTTTAACTGCACTTTCCCGAAAACTGGAACCTCCTCTAGTGAAGCAGGTGGAACAATTAAATATCTAAGACTCTAAACTATTTAAATGCTAAACTTGAAATAATCATAGCTTTCTTTTGGCAATTTGATACTGCACATACCTTTAGCATTTCACAAGATGTTTAGAACTTTAACTGCACAATGCACATGTGTTTTAAAACTACTGATTACTAAAAAAATTATTTATTTACTGTGTCACCAAGTCATTTAATGATCCTTTGAACAATTAAGATTATTCCTGTAAGAAAGACAGTCATAGTTTTCCTTATTTTCCCCAGACTTGCAATGTTTTAATAATATCTAGGAGTGTGTGTGGGGGAGGTATCTTAATGATATTAAAATGAAGCAAATAATTAATAGTGTAAATAAAGGTATAGATTAAATATGTGACATTTCAGTTGTATAATATTCCTTAAATGAATATAAAACACTGTACATAGAATTGTGAATTAAAACATATCTTTATGCAAAATACTTTGCAGTCTGTGGTTGAAGAAATGATCCTTTATCTGTGACCGCAACTAAAGGCTCACTGCACCTATGACAGTAAAAAAATTAGTTTTTTTGTGTGTGTTGGGACAACTAATTTTATTAAGACAGCATCTGTAGGCTGCACTTTGTCTTTGCTGGAGCCTGCACAACAGCTATGCTGCCAGCAATGAATGATTAAAGGGCAGGCACAAACAATTCTGATACAAGTATCTGGAAGTTAAGTGTTTTAATTAAACGTGGGTGTATGTAGCTATTCAACTTGCTTCAGTTACTGAGGTGAATCACTTTGATAAGCAGTATATACTTTTTTTTCCTGGATGAAGCCAAAGCCTAAATTGTTAGCACTTTTCATAAACACCATGCACACCAATTTCCTATATAAAGAACACTTTTAGTGGCAAATTCCACTTTGTTGCATACAGAAGCCGTGTATGAGCACATAAATATTTAGGCAACTGTGATTAGGCTAACTGACAAAGAGCAAATTCTGCTGTAGTTTTGAAGTGAGAGGTTACATTTGAAACTATTCCAGGACTGTACGCTAATAACAAAGCCAACCAACGCTAAAAGGGTAGGATCTGTCCTCGCATCTACAATCATAGGTGTAAGTAGGTCTCTCCCTGTCAAGCTTAACAGAACACATGGGGAAGCTAAATTAGACCATGAAAAGATTTCTTTATTCCATGAAAATATTCTCAACAGAGAACACTATTTTTAAACAAAGCATTTAACATTTAAGAAATCAACATGTGCACAGAAAAAAAAAGCTTAAAAATTACTGGAAAAAATTGAAGATTCTTTAAGACAACTCACGTTCAGAATTTTAGAATAACTGATTTATAACTACCTGTGCAAGTACAAATCATTTCTTTCCTATGTTTAATAACCCTCATACATGTTGCACTATCCCTCATGAAAGGAGCCTGCCTCCAAAGGAAGCAAATCCTGGTTTTAGAAAAACAAACAAACAGTAGCGTGAAAAGACCATTTAGGCCTTTATCAGGAAGTGTTACTACTAACCTGCAAGGCTGTTAGCCAGGCAAACCACAGGCCCTTTAGCAGAAAATACACAGATCACATTTCCTCCTCTTCTCTAACTTTAAAATAAAAAAGCACTAGATTAAAAAACAAAACAGGACCCCCCCCCCCAAAAAAAAAACTACACATGTAGTTTTGTCAGTATTGAGTAATGTCACATTATTATATAAATAACCCTGTATACAATATCCAAAAATCTAAACTTTAGAATTTAATAGCCCCCCCCAACTGTAATACACTAGGTCAAGCTGTGTAATAGTGGTATACATAAGAAAAGGAATAACCCTCTACACAAGTCACTCAAATTCAGTTTTACTGGTAGTACAATTTCTAATAACACTGAAATTAAAAAGAATCCAGAAGTGCTGCA